TTACAGAACCACAGCAGCGTCAATGATGATGAACTCAACATTTTAACTTACTTTAAGGCGTATCCGATTTTATATTAGTATGTGTTAAATAATTTAAAATAAAATGTTAAATTAAATTACTTTTCTTTCATTTAAAATGCCATGTTAATTAAAAAGAGCAAAAAATAATTCTTATGATTAACCCTTTCGATGGTTTTTTTTGAAATTTCACGAGTTTGATTCCCAGTTGTAGCAGGCGATTTTTTAAAATCTGTGAATGCAGTTCTAGTTATTATTAAAAATAAAATGATATCTTCTTTCAGTAAAATATCCTAACTTCAATTTAATATACTTTCCCTCCGTGTGAGGTAAGCGTGGGACGCCCTTTATAATACAGTATCCTACTTTATTAGGGGATCAAATACTATATTTCTAAAAACAATATATGTACAGGAGGCAAAACTACTATATTTTGCTTGAAGCAGATATTTAACAGTAAAAGCTTTTTAAAAAATAATATAAAAACAAATATATAATTCTAACACTCACACCAATTAGCCTAGCCAAAGTAAGTACTGTAGGCTTGTGTTATGGGATATTAAAGCATAGAGCAGCAAAAATACATTCATTTCAAAAATAAAGTAAATATTTAAAGCAATTACTATATTTTTTGCCATCTACTATATTTTTAGAGGTAACAGCTTCGAAAATACTATATTTGATAGAAAAAAAGGTGGTAGCCCTAGTTGTACCACGGTAATATTATCTATACAGTATTGTGACTCGGCCCTGTCCTTGAAATAAATGCCTACGGCCGAGCGGTGCGTAACACGCGGTAGGGCCGCCCGCCTACAGTATTTTAATTTCATCTACATAATTGAGTTTCTTTCTAGTTTTGTGATTGTAAATATTTTATTTTATATGTAAAGATTCTCCGCAAGCCCATATACCCATATCGTAGGAATGCATTAAAAATAACTATTCCGCCATGTTGGATTTAGAATGACGTCACACAGCTAACCGTCAATACGTATATATACAAAATTTCAGCTCAACCGGTTGAAGATATCTGCTTCAAAATTGAGTTTCAAGATTCCACCCGAACATACAAAGTTATATACCTACCTATATTGCAAGTTAATTAAAAGCTTGTAAAAAACCCGACTGCTGATTTTTATTCTTACATAATCCAATAAAAGAATATTATTTTAAACATACAAGTTATATTTATTTGTAAGTCATGGCGCAGTCGGGTAAGGAAATTACCTATAATGTAGGTAAATCTTACTAGGTAGGTACTGTAGGGTTCGTTTAATGCAAAGTAATTATTGTCATTGAAACACTTTTATTTTCAAGAAATTACATTATTACACTTCTGGAGACATCTATTGGCCCACCTTAGAGTTTAGGTTTCGATGGCCTCTACCGAAACATGATTGCTAGATTGAACAAAAACTGTTGATGCAGTTTTAAACCTGATACATTTGACCATCTTTTTCTATCGTATTGTTTTAAATACGACATGGAGCTACGCCTAACAAGTCGGGTATGCGCCTTGTTAAAGGCAATTGATTTTTGAATAAAAAAACATGTTTTATCAAATAAACGTTTAATTTAATAACGCGTGTTGCCTCCATGGGCATCTACCACAACTCTCATACGATTAGGCATAGAGTTTACCAACCGCTCTATGTAATTTTGAGGGATCATCTCCCATTCCTCTTCTATGGCAGTTTTCAACTCCTGCATCGTCTGGGCAACTGGCTGACGAGCCCTAATACGTCTTTTTAGCTCGTCCCACATGTGCTCAATGGGGTTCATGTCTGGGCTTCTGGCTGGCCAGTCCATAACTGTGATGTTCACATCCCGAAGATATTCCCTGACGATGCCGGCCGCATGGGCTCTTGCATTATCATGCTTAAAAAGGAAATTTGGGTCCACATAGTCCGCGTATGGTATCACGTGAGGTTCTAAGCACTCCTGAATGTACCTTTCAGCATTTAATATTTGCAGCCGTGGTCCTGTAACAACCTCAAGTTGAGTTTTGCCGCTCGCGGATATACCGCCCCAGACAGTCCATGAGCCACCGCAATAAGCAACCCTCTCTTCAAAGCAGCATTGTGCGAAACGCTCTCCCTTACGTCGGTAGACCTTCTTCCTTCCATCATCATGCCATGTAACACAATTTTAGACTCATCAGTACAGAGTACACGGCTCCAATCTTGCTGTGTCCAATTTAAATGACTGCGTGCGAAATGAAGGCGCGCTGTTCGGTGGGCTCGCGTTAGTTTGGGCCCATTAGCTGGCTTAAGTGGTACCATATCGCGTTCTTTTAACCTTCTCCGAACAGTTCGAGCGCTCACAGATACTCCGTGGAAGTCGCGAATTTGTTTTTGTATCTCAATGGAGGTAAGGTGACGATTTCTCAAGCTGGTCGTCACGATGAATCGATCCTGCCTTTCAGTTGTGACCCGAGATCGTGGCCTTCCTTGGCGACGAACAAAGCCGCCAGTCTCTAGGTACCTCCGATAAACATTTCGGACCGCAGATCGACTTAAATTAAGTTGAGCACTCACGTTTCTTTGGCTGTGTCCGGCCTGAATAATTGCTACAGCTTGGGCGGCGACTTCAGGTGAAGTATCCATAGATTATTGATAGAACCTAACCTTAATGTTAAGAATAAGTAATGTTTGTTGCAAAACCAAAGATATCAATCACTTTTTCAAGAATTAAATCCAAGTAAACCAATAAAACCAAGTTTTCTTAGTATTCGATTGTTTGATATCAACAAACAGGCTCCAAATTGTCTTTCGTTTCTGTAAATTCTGTGTTCGAAATTCAAAAAAAGACTATTGAATGAAATTGTGAATGTGCCAGGTTCAAAACTGCATAAAAACTTTTTGCTCGACCTAATATAAAATTTTAGCTAGGACCAAGAAGCTTATATACAACACTGGAGATTGCATGTAGAACTTCTGTATGAAGATGAGTTCATTAACCCCATGATATGTTTTTTATCTCTCTCACACACTATCTGAAATTACCATGTTAAATACAAGAAATTCCAATCAGAAAGTGAAAATAAACAGAACTATGCAAGATATCAATCAGTTTTACAATCTCCAGAAGTCCTACTCTTGTATTACTATTATAGGATGAGTGTGACAAATTCTACCCAACTACTTTGAAATCAATATTTAAAACTAAATAATAAATATGCCCTTTATTTCCCTGTTTGCTGGTTGCTACCATTTTGGTATAATAGCAACACTAATTAAAAAATCAACTGAAGAATAGCTCTGATCTGTCAAAAAAAATCTACCGCTTCGAATTTTTAGATTATTATTAAAAAGTGTTAAATCGTTCAATTTGCTATTTATAATATGTATTGTGTTGTGTGAGATTGCAGAAGTGTTTGGGAACCAAATTCCAGCACTAAATTTCACAGGTAAGTCTATTACATTACGCCAATACCGAAATAAACATATTCCTATATTTTTATGTTGTAATCATAATAAAACGTTAGTATTTATAAATCATAGTGTCCTGAGGCTATAAATTAACGTTATTCTTGTTTTATTCACTACATTTGGTACCATATTCAGCAGTTTATTAAATTAAAATAATATAAATTTTGGTTTTGTAGGGTAACCATTATCACTACACTTGAGATATTTTGAGAAAGTTAATAAAATACATAAGTATTATTGTAAATAGTAATTATAAAGTTCAAAATATGAAAATAAGTTTATAATAAATACTGTAGTAGATCATGTTGATTAGATGTAGAAAACCTATTTAATAACAGCTATCTAGCAGCGGTCTTATACCTTTGTTTATGTTTCAGCTTCCCGAAAGATGTCATTAAAAGAAATTCTTGGTTGTCCATTATACTGTCACAAACGCTCTCGTGCTAGAGATCGAATTAGCCAGAGCACCGCGGGTCGCAATAGAAGTCGAGTAAGGCGGCTCATTCTAAACTGAGCCTTATGCAGTGCGACGTAAAGGAGAAAGTGCAACGATATCTGCACTTTTTTACAAGTTATGCGTGTTACTTGCGTAGGTATAAGTAGGTATTTCGTACTCGCGGGTTAGCACCCGCGAGTACGAAATTGAGAATTACCTAGCGGTAATTCTCAATTTAACAGGTACTTTCTAGAACTTCGACTTTCGACGACCTCCGTGGTCGAGTGGTTTGTACGCCGGGTTTCATGGTGTCGCCGACTCGAGAGGTCCCGGGTTCAAATCCCGGTGGGGACAGATGTTTGTGTGATGAATACGAGCATTTGTACTCCAATCATGGTTGTTTAATATGTATTTCTGTAAAAAAAAATATACATAAATATGTACAGTTTATGTATTCTATCCGTTACCCTAGTATCTCATAACACAAGCCTTATAGTACTTACTTTGGGGCTAGGCTAATTTGTGTGAGTGTTGGAAATATTTATTTATTTATTTACTTTCTAGAATGCATCGATCGGCGTATATAAGGGCGATTGGCGCCGCGCAGAGACAGTTGAGTTTCAACAGCGATTTCGGAGCGAATCCAAAGGCGATCAAAGTGCAACAAAAGTGTTCAAGTAAGATTGTTTAGAGACTTGTATAGTGAAATACAGTGTTTAGTGAGTGTTTTGTAATTAACATTGTGTGTTAATTGTGTGAACTGTGTGGTGAATAAAGAACTGTCAATCGTGAACTGGCATATAATTTCGAACCCCATCCCGACACGTAACAATACCATTAAAAGGTCAATTTTATTTATCAGCCAAAATATGTAGCTTAGAGATTCTAGTCCGTTCTTAGTAAAAGGCATTTCTGGCGATTTTAAAAAGGGTTTGCATATTCTTTCTCGTTAATTTTTTTATAAACGTTTTTGACATGGCATAATATAAGACGCATCTAATATGAATAAAATGATTTTTGTACTTGTGAATTTTATTACTATTAAATAATAATGTGTTCCCAAGTTCCTATCAACTCCAACGCTTTGATTTATAAATTGTTTAAAGACGATACCAGTAAGTATGTATCCTAAACGTATATTCCAACATGGTCACCCTTAGAAAGAGATAACAAACATATGTGACGTCATTCAAGGCCATATTTTTTCACTTCAAGGTATTGTTTGCACTGCAATCTCCAGTGTTGTATATAAGCTTCTTGGCTAGGACCAAACGAAACAAAATAATGTGTCCAGAAGTGTCTTTATCAATAAACAAAATACTGTTTTTTAAACTCCGCACAAATCTCCCTATTTTTTATTTTCCAGCTGTCAACAATCCGTCTCTTTTCCAAATTACCTAATAACCTGCCAGTATACACCAAAAAGATACGATCATATATACCTAATGGTAACTCGTGCACTTAAATGGTGTCCGTGATGCTAGCATACCCACGATCAATATACGGTTTTTCGTTAAGCCATTAAATACGGCGTAAATAGTGCCGAATTAGTGTAAAAATCAAAAAAATAGTGCCTCTTTAATTTAAGAAATCAAGACCATTTTTACTGTGTACGCTACCATGACGTCAAGCTAGTGTACCCATGGCCGACCCCAAGAACGGCATATATTTAGGCAACGAAATTGACACACAAAAATAGTTTGCAAATAGTGCCCTGGCTTTACAAAATTTCATAATCAATAGTCTTAAGGGACCAAAGATATTGAACTAAACATTCTTAGCTGGCGTCAACCTAGCGTACCCATAATAGTTTTCATAGAAAATGAAATTTTCTCGTCATCAATTCGATATGTATAAATAGTGTGTCAAATAGTGTCTCTAACAGTAAAAGAATTCGCAGTAAAACAATGAATTGCTCAATGAAAAATCAGGTTCCAGAAAAGTTACTTAGAAAGACTTAGTACCTGTTTACCAAAATCGAGTTAATGTACTTTTCGTTATCGCGGAAGAATTCCAAGAAGAACTACCGTCCTGCAATATTTTAATAACTTTTAGATAAAAAATAAAAGAAGCATTTTCTTAATAAGATTTATTTGAAATTAAGCTGTTGCCTCTGGCAATGTAGTAATTATGTCAGAATCACCTGGATCTGTAATTGCTAAAGTGCATACTCTGTAGTATTTTCCACATGCTGTGCCCAATTCAATGTTGTTACCGCTGTAGTGATGTACTCCAGTTTTGGCCAATAGTGCATAATATTCAATCTCGGATTTCCTGTAACAACACAAAAATTTGACTTCTCTTTTGTAAGTACAAAACTATGTATGCAGGGCAGGCGAAACTGTGGCCCAGGGTCCCCCACAGTAGAGAAAAAAAGAAACTTCCGACGAGTCACGAACCATGATTTGTTAAGTGTGTGGTTTGGATTTAGGGGCCTCCACTCTTTTGTTGCCCCAAGGCCCTGACACCTCTTAATCCAGCCCTCTACATGTACAATGTTTTAAAATCAATGTTGAAACAAATATATCTTAATAGAGATATATAAAACAATCGAACAATATTACCTTTTGGATACACTAGCTCTATATTATATATAAATGAAAACAAATTTTATCTTTAATACTATTGTATAATGGTTAAAAAATAGTTAATATTCATCAAATTAAGAAGTAGAAATTGGTGTTATATTGGCATGATTCTCTAAATCTTAACTTATTATTCTGAAGTATATTGTGTCAATCTCACAAATCTGATCTGTACACATTGGAAGGACTTAAGAGCCTTCTATCTTCATGAACTACACTGAGCTAGAAGATAGCTCTTGCCTAGGTACAGGTCGTGTCATGTAAAAAGAATGTTAGGAGAAAGTGGAGGGTGTGTTTGTGAATGGCTACACTCACCCAGAAAAGTACTAGCCCTATTGTTTTAAATAATTTTAATACTGCTAGATACATTGTCATATGACCAAATAAACTTATAAATAGCCTACTGCATAGCCTAACTGCCAGTGTTCTTTTTAGATGACATAAGCTATAGAGCTTTATAGCTTTTATCTCTTCAAAAAGCTATCCTTCTCATGGGTGCATCCATCCTAATATTGGATATTAGCACAGTAATGCTTTTGAGATTTGTCTATTGTCATTTACGTACAGCATGTGGTCAATAGTTAGTCTAATTAAATAAGGATTTACACCAACACTAATGTTACCTTATGTCCATTGTTCAGCATTGGATCCTTTAAACAGACTACTCCATAGGTTTCCCAAATGAATTAGCAATTAACATTTTACTGTACCTACTAAACTCCTAAAACATTTAAAAGTGAATTTTTGTGTAAATTATATTAGGAAAATATCTGAATCACAAATATTAAGTTTAATTACATGGATAGGTAAGTTTTGCTTCAGACATTTCTGCACTTTTGTATGACTATCAGCATGTATAGATATAATATCAAAAATACACCCAAAGTGGTGGAAAACGATTCAGTGTCTATCTCTATGTCTTTAGAAACATTATTATTTTCAAGGGACAATCTCTTAAGTGTCAAGTGCTAATTCACTGATAAGGGAATCCATACTTCTTTGTCAGAGACTCCATATGCTTCCCTTGGAAAAGTATTATTGGGAAACTCTACTTCTCAGTAGTCTCACCTTAACGGAGGAGCATTTTTAGCAACTATGACGAGTTTTGCTTTGCCCTGCCGGAGAGTCTTCAAAGTCTGTTTATAACCCAAACAGTATTTCCCAGATTTCATCACAAGCGCCAATCGAGAGTTGATGGACTCGATGGTTTTTTTCTAGAACAAGACAAAATATATAAATTATTTGGAACATCATATCATGATCTTGATTAGGTAGATACGTAGTCATGATTTATAACCTTAAAATGTAAGATGCTTTCTCAACCCCGCTAATGCATTAATTAGAGAGTCTATCAAGTAACTTTTAATATAGGACTCAAATTTTGGAGGTTTATCATGTTCGTAACAGAAAAGCCATGCCAACGAGTCCAAACTACATCCTTAAAATGAGCACGTGTTAGAGATTACCTGTTTCTTAGCCGCCACCATTGTAGTATCTAGTTTTCGGATTCAAGGAACACTGAAAGATAAATTAACATAAGGTCAGAAAAGGTCGCAATCTATACTGATTCGGTAAAATCAAACGTTTACACCAAAAAAATATGTACGAGAAGTTAATACGTACCCAACGACAACCACACTCGGTCGAGACGTATAGGTGAAAGAAAGTAGAACTAAAAAAAAAAAAGAAAAAAAATTTGATAGGGATGCCATGCCCCATCGAAACGATTCTTGGAGTTTCATTCATGGTAAAGCGATTTACTCAAACAATGGTGCCAATTCTGGCGTGATTCTCTAAACTTAACACTAAATTTAACATCAGTCTCTCCTTTTCATTCTGTATAGAGAATGACAAGGATATACTGCTGTCAAATTTAAGTTTAGGTTTAGAGAATCATGCTAGAATCGACACCAATGAATTTAACGAATCGTCTGCCCCTTAAGCGGGTCATACACCAGTACCCCTAGTATGAGTTTTAATCGTTTTCGAATTCGATCAATCGTATCGGATCTATACAAATAATAATGACGGCACTTCACTTGTATTAGTAAACTTGACAGCAGTCTGTCCTTAACATGTTTTTTAAATTAAACTTCTTTAAGCGTGTTATGAAAAAAATATGGGAGTAAAATTTTAAGATGCGTGCGCATCACTGTAACACAAAAGTTACACCATGAAGTTGGCCGCTAAACCGCACATTAAGTCTCGAAAAAAATTACCATCAAAATAGAAATAGAATCTCTATTAGATCTCTCTGATCACTGTTCATATTATTTATAATATTTATCTACATGTTTCTAGTTTCTATATTCACAACACGTGTTTTATAATATAATAATAATATAATAATATTTATAGTTTCATACAAGTGGGCATTACAGATCTGGTAATAAATTATATTTAGTAGTGATTGAAATTGAATATTTTGATTATTTATTTAATTTTTCACATTAATACTGAACTTTATTGGCTGTGTTGACTATCATTTTCCAGTGCTTTTATTATTTTATTGTAACTAATTATTTGCATCCAATTAAAAACTAATTTTTAATGCTGTCAAAGAAGTTAACTTCTCACGCACGTACGTACGTATAAGTACACGCATCCATATTTTTTAAGTAATGAAAAGCACAAATTCACAAAATAAAGATCGCTGTCGCACAATATTGAAGCCAGAAACATATTTAAGTGTCGTGTCGTGTCGACGCTCTAATCTCTCTTTCTCTCTCTTACCAATAATAAATGTATGTAACCGATGCGTCACGCACGACACGCTGAATTTGACAGTAGTCTGTCCTATTCAAAAGTCTGCTCTGATACAGAAGATGAATCAGAGCGCTGAAACATTACTGTGCATTTACGCATTCAGCTGTATTTGTAATGTTTTTATTTCACATTTGTCGAATATATATATAATATAGTTTATATCAAGGTGGTCATTGATATAAACCTTTACGTTTTTCCCAAAAAATCCCAAATCACTTAGTTTTATTTCTATTGTAGTGAAAACTTCTTTAGTATCGTTACAACTTGAGATTTGATAAAACAAAAGTTGAGTATTTGACACAAGATAGGTATCCGTAATTTTATCATTTACTATAAGAGACAGATGGCCGAACGCACCGAACCTCAAGAGACCGATTCTCTTGAGGTCGAGGCAAGTGGTCGGTGGTTTCGAACCTAAGTTCAGATGTTTTTTTGCTTTTACTAAACAAAGCCATTATTATTTTTTTAGATACAATTTAAGTACAGAATATTTACCGTACCGTATATTTCTCGCGCTTGTTTTCTGAGTCTGAATCTGAATCTGAATCTGAGTGCACTCTGGCCGTACCCATACATCCATGTTTGTAAAACATCGAGGTATCGGTCATAAACATCGATGTTAACATCGATGTTTTGATGCCGATATATCGACGATACATCAATCACTACATTTACAAACATCGACATCGTTCTTGTCTGTTCGGATTTTCGGAATCACTGTGACGTTCGCTCGTATTAGTATCTCTAACTAGTCTGTGCTCGTATTGCATTGTGTTCTGACACGTAAAGCGTAGATGAATTTGATTAAATATAATTTGATTCTTTGACTACATACCTATACACATTTTAGATTTCTTGATTAGGTGAGTAATGTACTCGTTGAATTAAATTATAAAGTAGTTAGGTTTTGATGGTTTGTTTTTTCTTTAGGTTTCTTTACGCCGACAGCGTTTTTGTATGTCCATGAAACGGCTACTTTAAAATTAAAGATTTGTAGCTTTCTAGCTCTCAAAAAAATACAATACATTTTTTTCGTTCCAATAGAACATTTATTAACCATTTAAAACCTTTTTCCAAAAAGGGTCAACTAGCCTATTGTATTTACGGCTTCCGGTAAAAAACACCCGTATAAAAGATTTCATTATAATATCTCTATATTTATTATAATCTTTATATCTAACTAGCTGACCCAGCGAACATTGTACTGCCCAAAAGTCGATGAATGTGGTAATATTAATTTATATTTACTATAATTTGAATTATGATTTTGCAGCCGCAATAAAACAAATACAGAAAAGTTAAATAGTTTATAAGTATAATATACTTTTACTTTAATAGTGTATCAGCGAAATTTAAAACGGGGTTAATTTTTTTTAATTTATTCATGAAACGGGGTTAATTGTTTGCCAGGGTTGCCATGTATTTGCCTAATAACTATTCTCCAAGCACAGACATCCCTTAATCTCTCAGTACCCTACGACTTCTTGGGAAATTAGGAATAGTTCTATATTTTTAGAAAATTAAACCAATTCGAGTAAAATTTATGTTATAATGAAATGAAAACTGCGATATTGATATTTATATTAAATGATTGATGCAGTATAGATGGTGTTGAAGTTATATCCATCGTTTTCTTACCAAAATATCGGCTAATATTGCAACTTGTCTTATGATTACAGTATTTTCTTTAAATTACAATATCACTCTCTAAATCAATCATTTTCTATGTATAAGAACACAATCGATTTTCCGCATTACATTTTTCCGTGTTTTTTCCTATATTTAAATAGTTATTCTCATAAAAATCGGTCCAGCCATTCTTGAGCTACAAGTGTTCTAACTTTCCAGTATATAAAAGAACTCTTTGGTTCTAATTAGCACGACTTTGTTTCATATTAACATTTATCCGAGTAAAATGTTGAACTTTTTTGTGTTTGTTTTATTTCGTTTGTAAAGTCCTTAATTTAATTAAGCTAGATATTCAAGATAGCCACATTTATCGACTGTTATAAAGGCGGTACGCAGTTCGCCGGGTCAGCTAGTGTTGCCGCATCCCGCAACAGAGTTCTTTAAAGATCTGTATTTCTTTATGGTTTTTAATTTATTCTTTATATCAAAATTGACAATGTATTTTTTACTACTTCTATAATCTTTGAGACAATATACGCACGATTTTTCACCGCAAGAAAAACGTTTTATTTTCTCAATTATTCCGATCTCATGACTAACATGAAATTTTGGTTCTTCGAGCCGGATTGTATCAAGAAGTCGATAAATAAAACGAAAATAATATAACGAAGAAAGCGAAGCTGAGATAAGTACATCGACGAGCAGGTATAAGAGATTGTCACGCAGATCCATTCTGTTCGCCATGATCAGCACAGCATCATTTCATCGTCAGCTACAGCGGCATCGCAGCTGAATCCAAGCCTACGGTGATCTGTTATAAAACTTCAAAGAAGAATCGCATATATCCTTCACAGAATAATTACTATTTTGGTTATTTCCAGTGTCGGGCTACCTTGCGAGTGGTTTGCCTGCTCATTACATGAAAGTTCCGCAGTTATTACTAATAGAGTAAACTCCTTTGTTATATTGCGTTGTCAAAACCGATTGAGTAATGTTGTCAGAATAAAACAAAACTCTGTTATTATAAAAATTGCTATTCTTTATGTGTGCCTAATATATATCGTTTTCTTTAAATTATCTTTAATTTACCTACTGCCCAGTTAGCTCCTGCTAGAAACGTACTGTGCTAAGTGGTTATGGGCTTATTTCACTGAGAAATATGGAGCTAAGTAAAATACAGATTCCAAAACTTGACGAAAATGCGAACAATTGGATACCATGGAAATACCGTATGTCGGCGGTACTCCGCGGCATGGACGGAATTATGGATATTGTGGAGGGCATTGTTCGGAAACCTGAACGAACGGCAGTTGGTGGTGGTGACGGTGATGCAGCGGCTGTTAATGCACTGTATGAAAAACGTCTGAAGGAATACTGTACTCAGGAAAGTATTGCCTTATTATTGATAACAAATAATATATCAGATGAGACACTGGATAAAGTTATTAGATTCACAAACCCGAAAGATGTTTGGGACGAGCTACATCGAATATTTGATGGTTCAACAGATGACAGATTATACGAAACTTGTATTGAATTTTTCCAGTACAAAAAGATGGACACGGAAAATATATCAACACACATCTCCAAGATTAAAAATATTTGGCATAAGCTGCACCTAGAGTTAGCTAAGAATGAAGAAACAAGATTACCAGATTTTTTGTTAATTTGCAAAATTTTGGACACTTTGCCAGAGGAATATTTTTCGTTCAAGTCGAGTTGGATGTTGATGTCCAAAAAGGATCGTACTGTCGAGAACATCACAAGCCAATTATGCTCTCATGAAAGAGCGTTAAGAAATAGTTTAGAGGGAGAATCCAGTAAGTCCGGTGAAGCATTGATAGTGAAAACGAAAGGATCGGCACGAGCCAAGAAGGAATCAAACGGAGGATCTAAAGTCAGATGTTACATTTGTAAGAAAGTGGGACACATCAGAAAGGACTGTCCTCTAAAGAAAGAAAAAAATGGTGGTAGCATGAGTTCGGCTGAACGCACTACGAGCACCAATATGAATATCTTCAGCAGCTTTGTGGAATCCAGTCTTGATCGTGAGTCTTGGTACGTAGACAACGGGGCTACTCACCATATTACGATGCGTGAAGACTTTTTTGAGGATTTCATACACTTTGATGAACGTCATACTGTTACTACTGCAAATGGTAACGTTGTTCAAGCTGTAGGAAAAGGCTCAATTAGAATGAAAGCTAATGGTGAAGAATTCTTTCTAAGAGACGTTTGGTTTGTACCGAGTATAACAAGAAATCTGTTTTCGGTA